GGGGCCGGCCCTTGTTTATTATTTTTAACAGTTTTTTGGCAGATTCTTTAGAGCTTTCTATATATAAAATTATGTCATCTACAAATAATGATAGTTTTGTTTCTATCTTCCCAATTTGGATTCCTTTTATTTCTTCTTTTGCCTAATTGCTCTGGCTAGGACCTCCAATACTATGTTAAATAAGAGTAGCAAGAGTGGGCATTCTTGTCTTGTTCCTGTCCTTAGGGTAATAGTTTTCAGCTTTTCACTATTAAATATGATGTTAGCCGTGGATTTTTCATATATGTCCTTTATTACGTTGAAGTATTTTTCTTCTATAGCCATTTTATTGCGAGTTTTCATCATAAATGGATGTTGGATCTTGTGAAATTCTTTCTCTGCATCTATTGAGAGGATCATGTGGTTTTTATTCTTCATTATTTTAATGTGGTGTATCACATTGATTTGCAGATGTTGAACCATCCCTGCATCCCTAGAATAGATCCCACCTGATTGTGGTGTATGATCGTTTTAATGTATTGTTGTATTTAATTTGCTAAAATTTTGTTGAGAATTTTTGCATCTGTGTTCATCAACAATATTAAGCTATAATTTTCTTTTTTTTATGTCATCCTTGTCTGGTTTTAGTATCAAGGTAGTGTTGGCCTCATAAAATGAGTTAGGAAGCACCCCCTTTTCTTCAATTTTTGGAAGAGTTTGAGAAGGTTATAAAATCTTATGTGAATGTTTCGTAAAATTTACCAGAGAAGCCATCTGGTCCTGGACTTTTGTTTTTTGGAAGGTTTTGATTACTGTTTCAGTCTCCTTACAAGTGGTTGGTTGGCCTATTCAGATTCTCTATTTTTTCTCAACTCAGTTTTGAAAGGTTATATGATTCTTGGAATTTATCCACTTCTTCTGGGTTATCCAATTTGTCAGCATATAGCTTTTCATAGTATTCTCTTATAATCCTCCCTATTTCTGTAGTATTCACTGTAATTTCTCCTCTTTTTTTCCGATTTTATTTATTTGAGCTTTCTCTCTTTTTTTCTTAGTGAGTCTACCTAAAGGTTTGTCAATCTTGTTTCTTTTCAAGAAACCAGCTCTTAGTTTCAGTGATCCTTTCGACTGTCTTTTTAGTCTCTATTTTCTTTATTTCTGCTCTGATTTTTATTTTCTTTCTTCCACTGATTTGAGACATTGTTTATTCTTCTTTTTCTAGTTCCTTTAGGTATAATATTAAATTGTTTGTTTGAGATTTTTCTTCTTTATTGAGGTAGACCTGTATTGCTATAATTTTCACTCTTACGACCACTTTTGTTGTGTAGCATAGATTTTGGTATGCTAAGTTTTCCTTTTCACTTGTCTCCAGGTATTTTTTGATTTCTTCATTGATCCAATAGTTGTTCAGTAGCATGTTGTTTAGTTGCCACATGTCTGTGAGTTTTCCAGCTTTGTTCTTTCTTGGTATGATTTCTAGTTTCATATCATTGTGGTTGGAAAAGATGCTTGATATGATTTAAATCTTCTTAAATTTATTGAGACATGTTTTGTTTCCCAGCATATGGTCTACCTTTGAGAATGTTCCATGTGCATTTGAGAATAATATGTATTCTGCTGTTTTTGGATGGAATGATATACATATATCTATTAAGTCCATCTGGTCTAGAGTTTCATTAAGGCCAATGTTTCCTTATGGACTTTCTGTCTGGATGATTTATCCATAGAGGTAAGTGTGTGTTAAAGCCCCTTACTATTACAGTATTGCTGTCAATTTCTCCCTTTAGTTCTGTTCACATTTGCTTTATATACTTTGGTTCTCCTACCTTAGGTGCATATATATTAATAAGTGTTGTGTTTATCATTATATATTGTCCATCTTTATTTATTGTTGTCTTTTTTGGCTTGAAGTCCATTTTGTCTTATATAGATATGGCTACACCCACTTTCTTTTGGTTGCATTTTCTTGGAGTATCATCTTCAATCCTTTCACTCTGAACTTATGTTTGCCTTTAGCGCTGAGATGCATCTCCTGGAGGCAGCATTTTGTTGGGTCTTGTTTTTTAATCCATCTTGTCACCATCTTCCTTTTATTGTTGAATTCAACTCATTTACATTTAGAGTGATTATTGAGATATGAGGGCTTAATATTCCCATTTTGTCTTTTGTTTTTTAGTTGTTCTATATTTATTTCTATTGTTTCTTTTTCCATGTATTTCTATCTGCCATTTCAGTTTGATATTTTCCTCACTTTACTCTTTATTTATGATTTGTGACTCTGCTCTGATTTTTTCTTTTGTGATTACCATGAAGTCTGTATAAAAGATCTCACAGATGAGACAGTCCTTTTTCTGCCAATAGCATCTTATTTCCATTAGCCTATGTAGGTAACCTCCTTTTCCTCTTTCACTTTTATGTTTTGTGTTTTTGTGGGGTTTTTTTGGCACCAATTATCCTTTTTTTGTACTGTGAGTTTGTTACCAAATTGAAGTGGTTATACTTATTTTGGTTGTTACTTTCCCTTCAGCCTTTGTGTTTACTAACCTATTCTGATATCAAGTTGGAATTTTCTGATTCTGTCTGTCTGTTTATCACCTTTCTCAAAGCTTTGTAAACCTTTGTCTTTTTGCTTCAGGTAGGAGGGCTTCTTTCAACATTTCTTGTAATGCAAGTCTAGTGGTGATGAACTGCCTCGGCTTTTGTTTGTCTGGGAAAGCCTTTATTTCTCCTTCATGTCTGAGGGATAACTTTGCTGGATAGAGTATTCTTGGCTGACATTTTCTGTCTTTCAATATTTTGAGTTTATCATTCCACTGTCTCCTAGCCTGTGGAGTTTCTGCTGAGAAATCCACTTATAGCCTGGAAAGGGATCTTTTATAAGTGACTTTCTTCTCTTTGGCTCCCCTTACTGTTCTTTTTTGTCATTGACTTTTGACAATTTTAATATACTATGCCTTGGAGAAGGTCTTTTTGTATTGAGATAATTATGAGTTCTATTAGTTTCATGTACTTGTATATCCAGATTCTTCCCCAGGTTTAGGAAGTTCTCAGATATTATTTCTTTGAATAAACTCTCTGCTCCTTTCCCCCTTTCTTCTCCTCTGGGATCCCTATTATACTTATATTCCTTTTCCTAATTGACTTGGATATTTCTCATAGAATTTCTTCATTTTTTAAGAAAATCATAGTTCTCTTCTCTTCCACCTGAATCATTTCTAGATTTCCACCTTCAAGCTCATTAATTCTTTCTTCTGTATGGTCTGCTCTATAAAATAGAAAATGTTTTCTATTTTATTTTTCATCTCATTAATTGTGTTCTTCATCTCCAGAAATTCTGTTTATTTATTTACTTTTTTTAGTGTTTCAATCTTCTTAGTGAAGTACTCCTACTATTCATTAATTTTATTTCTGAGCTCATTGAACTGTCTTTCTAAGTTTTCTTGTAACTCATTGAGTTTCTTCATGACAGCTATTTTGAATTCTCTATTACTTAGATTGTAATCTTCTGTAACTTCAAGTTAGGTTTCAGTAGAGTTGTCATTTTCCTTCTGTTCTGCTGTGTTACTGTATTTCTTCATGGTATTTGATGTGTTGATCCTCTTGTTGGTGCATTTTGTAGTAGTAAACACCTTTCTTGTTGGGTAAGGTTTTATTACTCTGGTTCTGAGCTGCTTACAGTTTAATTTGAGAGCCTACACTTTCCACCCTCCACTGCCTCTTCTAGTGGTGTCATCAGTACCATCCTTGTGCTGCTTGTGCCTCTGCAGTTGCTGGTGCCTTGCTGTTTATGATGTTACTGCAGTCTCAAGTGTCAATGCCATCACTTCTCTTGCTTCCAGGGTTGCCTGTGTCTCATGTTCCCCCACTGGCTCTCCACAGGCTCTCCATGGGCTTGGGTGCTGCTTCCCCATGCACCATCTGTCCTTTTGCTCCCATGTTATCAGGGGGATCTGGCAGCATCATTGCCAGGGACATTGGGTTCATGGTGTCACTGTCAATGCTGGGACCCTGGGGTCTTGTATGCAGCCCCTGCTGCTGGTGGAGCTAGTATCAGGGGTGCCACCACTGAAGGCTGGTTCATGGGTTCTTCTGTGGTTCCTGAAGCCTCAGGTCACAATTGCCACCTGCCACTGCAGTGGGAAGGGCAGGGGCTAAGCCACAAACATTGCTGGTCATGCAGCTTCTGGTCACTAGTGCATGCTGGTGTGGTTTTTGAAACTTCAATTCAGGGCAACCCACCACTGCCAGGTAAATCAGCATTTTGGATCCTGTCCCCCTGCTGGAAAGCCTGGTGTCACTGTCTGGGAGGGGGAGGGAGCTGGATAACTGGCTAACTCTGAATCTTCAGGATGTGTGCAACACCCACGACCGCTTGGGGGGTAGGATATAAGCCACCAGTGCCATGTCTGTCCCTGAAGCCTCTTGTCACTGATATGCATGCTGGTGTGAGGATCTGCATTTTAGATTTCCCCCACTGCATGCTGGCGTGACGAACTGATTTTCAATTGCTGCCACTTTGCGAGGTGGAGGGAGCTGCTCCCCTAGTTCCACCACCTCCTGGAGGTACAGTCCACCCACGTTCAGATGTATAGATGTATAGGCCTCTCAAGAGCTCTGATGTGTTGTGCAGGGAGTCCTTTGTTGGTCAATGAATGTCTGACTGGTTATAACTTAGAGGAGAAAGACAAAGGGAAAAATTCACCTTGCCTTGATGCTGACATCATTCTTCTATTTGCAGGAAATGTTTAATAACCTCAGAGATTTCAGACTACATTTAATAAAAATGTCAAAATAATTTTACTAATTTTTTTCTAACTTAATAATGTCCCAATGATATTTATAAGAAAAGTAAATAAACCTTTATTGGAGGCCTGGAAAATCAGGTATGAAAAGTTATATTTACATAGGGCCACAATTACCTTGGTATCCTGAAACCACACAAAACAATTTGAATTTAAACTTTGACCTGTAGCTTTGCTTATAGTCACAAGCAAGTCCTTTTCAAAAGTACTGCTCACCTACTAAGAGACCACATATCTCTCCATCAGCTTCCTGAGAGCTGCCACCACCTCTTTGTTCCTCAGACTGTAGATGAGGGGATTCAGCATGGGTGTAAGGATATTGCTAAAAACAGAGAGAACCTGGTCCTGCTCTGGACTATGGGAAGAAGTAAAAGTCATGTAGATAAATATGTTTGGGCCAAAGAAGAGGCTCACCACAGTTAAGTGAGAAGAGCAGGTGGCCAGGGCTTTCTTCCTGCCTTTGACAGAGTTCATATGGAGGACAGTGAGAAAGATGAGAGTATAGGAAGCTGTGATGAGACTAAAAGGCACAACGAGCAGTACAATGCTTGTCACCACCACTACTGACTGATACACTGAAGTGTCTTCACAGGAGAGCTTAATGAGGACTGGGACTTCACAGAAGAAGTGGTGGATCTCCCTTGACCCACAGATGGGGAAATGCATAGGGTAGACCGTATGGATAAATGAACTTATAGAGCCTCCAGTCCAACATGCAGCCACCATGTGCAGACAGAACCTGGGGCTCATGATGGTAGGATAACGCAGTGGGTTGCAGACAGCCACATAGCGGTCATAAGCCATGAGAGTCAAGATGAGACACTCTGACATTCCCATCATCAGGAAGAAGAAACTCTGGGTTCCACAGCCAATCCACGATATGGTCCTTTTCCCTGTGAAAAAGTTAGAGGCCATCTTTGGGACAATGGTGGATGTTAATGTCAAGTCAATAAGGGAGAGTTGACTGAGGAGAATGTACATGGATGTATGGAGCCGGGAGTCCCTCCAAATCAAGACAATCAGAAGTATGTTTCCCAGAAAAGCAAGGATATAGATGAAGATGATCAGTGAGTTGAGGACAATGGAATGCCAAAACTCAGGAAAGAGTCCCACAAGGATGAAATCAGTTACCAAAGACTTATTTCCATCCAGCATGCCTCTAAAAGAAATATAACAGGGCTGGGGAACAAATCAAATGAGTTAGAACAAACGACATTCAATACAGATCTTATATCAATATGTGGATCTAAAATTTTATATCTTTCTCCCCAACTTTGGACTCTCATAGTATTTGCCATCATCTCATCAGAGGTATTTTAGTATAAGTTTTTGAGCAATTGCCTAAATGTTTGTTAAATAGAGAATACTGAAAAGAATATACAGTGCATCTTAACCTCTGTTGAGTTATTTTTCTTTCTTTCTTCCCTTCTTCTCTTTCTTTTCTAAAATTAAAGAATCTTGTAAAAACCATGGATCTACTTTCTACAAATATAAACCTAAAATTTTGTTTATTATTTCTGATATCCATGGACCCTAGTTATTAACTTTTGTATATTTTGGGGAAAAAAGAGAAAAATCAAATTAATTCACTTAATTTAGTTTTTAAAGTTACAAGTTAATTATTAAGCAAAATTTTAACAAAATATCCTATTGATTCACTTTTTGGCTAACTGCCATTATGCCATAAATATGGTAATAAAAGTTACCCTGCTTGGAAGCCATCAATATTGCCTATTGTTGACCAAATAAAGCTCATATTTTTAGTCTAGAATTCTAGATCTTCCATGACTTGGACCCACGGTACTTTACAAAACTTAGGTTCTATTGTTTTTAAGCACACAACTCAAGGCCCAACAAAATGGATACTCTCATGGTTTCCCCACCTGACTTGCACATTCACACATCTGCACTTTTGCTTTTATTTCTCCTTAGGATTATCCCTCTCCTCTTCATTGTTGGAGCCTCTTCAATGCTTATTTAAGTACAACCTCCTGAAACCTGAAGGAGGAGAGATTTCCCTATCTACTTTCCTACAGTCTCTTAATCACATCACCCACACCATTATTTATCAAAATAGCTGAGAAACAGTGTAGCTCGGAGGCTAAGAGCATGTATCATGGGCTAGGCTACTTGAATTCAAAACCCGGCCCCATCACTTACTATCTATGCCTTCTTCTCCTCACTTTAATACAAGGAGGTTAATCAAATGACCTCAAAAGGTAGTCATGAGGCTTGGATGAGTTACTACTATAGTTTTCTATGTGCTGATATTTCTCCTCAAATAATTTTGAAGATTTTGAGTGCCAGGATTATATTGTACTTATCTATATTTCAATAAAACCAGCACAATAACTGCAAGTCACTATGTATCTAATAAATATTTATTAACTGGAAGGTTGAACAACCTCCATGGAGTTCAGCAGTACACATTTTCAGGTGGAATATATGACAAATACTCTCACTGGAATTGCACTCTTCATGAGAGCTAAAGCTATTCTCCTCCATGTCATCTTACTGAAAAGTGGAGTTCCCACTCCAATATGAATAAGACGACTGCTGTAAGTGTGGAACTTTTCATATGCATTGGTGTTTCCAAGCAGAATGTCGTTGATGCAGCACAGAGAGCAAAACACTTGAAAATCCTGTTCTTTATTATTGGAGCAGGAAGTTTGATAATATAAACAACTCCATCCTCCAGTTTAAGGTGATGGCTCTTTTCTGGCTGTGTGTATTCAGATTATTTGTATGACTAAAATATCAGTTAAGAAGAAAAACTATGTTGTTCCTTTAGCTATGAGTCTGCTGCAATATAAAATATGAAACTAATTATTAATTTGGTTCCATCACTAATGCACATGAAGCACTAATCTTGCTAAAGTTGTATTTATGTTATTTGAGAGACAGTGACAAAATAGTTCTTGAAAAACCTTTATGATCTGTTCATTTTTCATTCTATATTTATTGAATGCTCACTATATTTCACACATATTCTACTAGGTACTGAAGAGGGGACAACAATAAATTAGGACATGGTTTATATCTTCAATGAACTGTGAATTTAGATATAGAATTATTTATATTAACAAATCACAAAATAGTGAAATAAATGCTATAGCTAAGGCTCCTATAGGGGGATATATCAACACAGAGAAAAGAGCGAATGTCTGAGTAGGATAAGGGTGGAGAATTAAATAAGATTTAGTTTGAGCTATGTTTATCTTGGGGCATAGCAACTCATAAATTTAAAGACTGAGGGAACAAGGGTTTTGCTGTGGTTAAAAGCACTGGTCAATCGATGGTCAAAGTCATGTTGCACAAGTTAATGAGAAACAAATTAGAATTCTTGCACAATTTTTATTCAACTATTTTGAACTATATGACTCTGAAAGTTTGCAATTTTCTCATTCCTGAATAACCTCATGGAATCCTTACCTGTATATTTATGTTATGCCACATAGCTTGGCTTGCCATCTCTTTTGCCGAGCTGAAAAATCCACCTGTTTATTGGTGTTTTATGTTGAATTTATGTGTCTGCTAAAAATACCTTATCTCTTTTTCTAGAGTAAGGATAATCAAAGGATTTATGTTGTAAGGTGAGTGTGAGGTGTGACACGTTCTTGTGCTCAAAAATTATCCACTATCATTATCATCATCAATATTATTATAGCTGCCCCATTGCATAATTTGTTCTAGGTTTATACACCAACCAACAATTATACAAGCCATAATATTCATCAAAGTTATGATTGTATAAGTATATAACTTTGAGAACACAAATGGCAAAGAGTTTAAAAATATAGATTATAGAGTAAAAGAAGTAATGTTTAATAATTTTGGAGCCAAACATTAGAGTAAGAAAAAGCATTCACATGTGTTTAAATTCATTTTTACTTAATTTTTTGTAAATACTTATCAACTGATAACCAACTGCCTGAAAAAAAACTATGGGTTATGTTTTAGGAAGAAAAAACTATGGATCATAGCATAATCAGATTACAGACAATATTCTCTTAATAGAAAAATCAACTGTCACTTAGTAAGGATTTCTGATTATTTGTAAATTGTTCCCACAAGAATAAAGCAACTTTATCAATTAATTCAATTCAATGGTATCAGTATTTGAGAGTCAGCTCTGAATGTATTTCCATTATTTATTTACTATAGAAGGAGATAAATCTACTCAAAATGAGAAGTGCAATGTTATATTAACCTATATAGGACTTTATTGACATTTTAAAAAGTGTTTCAAATTATGACTCTTTATGTCATTTGAGGAACACAGAAAGTCCTTATTGTTAGCATGATTTGAGATTGTGTCTATGTGGATACATATAAGGCAGACTGAAATAAAATAATAAGTCAGTTATCAAACAGTTTTTCTAAAAGCAACAGGATAAATTCAAGAGATTATCAAGAGATTAACTTGGTTGCTAAGCTTAGGCATATCCTTGAATATATCATATTTGAGTCTAAAAGTTTATTCTCAAATGTTTCACTTAACATCATGAGTGGTCCCTGCTCCATTTTATGATGCGTTGATTAGACAAGAGTATTTATGACACCATTATTTGATTGATATGATTCACGCAGATAATCAAACAGAAATATTGTAATTCTTTACAGCTTTCCTCTAGACCTGAATCCTTTAGGAAGTCTACAAAATACGCATCTAAGACTGTCACAGACATTTTTTTTCTTTTACAAGTACAATCACCAAAGTCTGACATCTATGAGACAGCATACGCATATAGATTCTCTACAGAATTTTTATTACCAGTTAAGCTTCAAGATACTTTTTTCAACCGGTATGGTAACTACCTTAAATTCTGTTTATTACCAGTCACCTCTGCCTCTTGGAATTGCTGACAACTTCTAGATTTCCAGTGATTAGATGTACCTTCCCACTATGCAGCTTTAGATCTTTTTTTTTGCATTGAAAAATGAATGTAATTGGTTTGATGTTGATAGAAAATCATACATTTTAGTAATGAGCCAAGTGACTATGATTCTGCAATACTATGTATACTAAATACTGGTTGGCATATCAGCTAAGATCTAACTTGGTAGATTGCCTAGTAATTTGCCATCAAGGGTCTGGAGACCTTCATAGTGAATGACCTAGGGGAACACAGTCCCCAGACTTTAATTAACTTTGGTCTCAGAACATAATAGTGAACCTTAGAAGTTAGGTAAAATTATGTGAAACAAATATTCCTCACCATGGAGAATATTCAAATGTTTTCAGATGATAAACCACAGAGTAAATGACCAAATGCCATCAGGGACATGCAACCTGCCCTATGCTGAACTTCAAAAGTAGAAGGCGGGTCAATATGCATTATCTTCATATTTAACTCCCCCCAAAAAATACTTTCCCCAATTTGTGTATGATTATTTTTTGCAAATGTGTCTTAAAAAAGATTTTATTTTGTAGCATCTTGATAATTATATAGCTATTTTAGCATACTGATATAATATAAATAAAATTAACTTTGAGGTCTGACATATCTAAACTAAAATCTAATCTCTCCAACTTTCCAACTATAATTTTATTCAAGTAACTTAAGTCTCAGTTTTATTTATGTTGTCTGTTAATGTGAGCATAGTAATATCTGTCTCACTAGGTTGTGTTTTATATGACAAATATAAGTAAAAAATGTATGGACTACTTTGTCCTTTTTGTTTCTTAGCAAGTCAACATGATGTACTGTTTGGTTAATTATTTCCTGCTTCTAAGTGTAGCTTTTCTTTTGTACACGTTTAGACCAACACACAGCATCTGAAGAACCAACATTTTCTTTGTCTAAAAGCAGCCTGATGATCATGACTGAATATTTGCACATGAATACATAAAAACCATTTGTAAAATAATTAGCATGAAAACAATTATTTTGAAAATAAAAATATTCAGTTAAATATCTTTAAAAACAACAAAGAATTGTCAAGGTAAATCAAAAAGTAGACAAATATATTTTAGAAAAAAGTTAGAGAAATAAAGTACCTTAGTAAAAAAGTAACCTTGGACCTAAACATTTTTAGTTCTATCATCACACATGAGATTCCCAAAAGTGTTGTAAGTAATAGCAGAATTTTCTGTTTTATTAATAAAAATGCAGTGAGAAAGCAATATGAATCATTTAAGCAATAACAACTGT